AGTGGTAATGTTAAGGAAAACAATCCAGAAGGACTGCGGAATTGACATCACATAGAACGGACTCATAAAATATAATTCCAAGAAGGCTCATTGCCACCATGTGCAAATTAAACCGAAAGCAATGAAATACCAGAAATTGTGTAATATTTAAAATCGGTGAGAAATTTCCGGACCGGTTTTCTGTTTGGAGGGGGGGAGGAGGGGAGGAGGGTAACGACGGCCTGCTAGATCATCAAAAGGGTAATGGAGCACCCCAACGTGAGAACCACTGTGCTTGATCCTCCCCTTCCCTCAGTAGATTCCTCATCTTAGGTAGACCGCCCTTCAAAAAACTGGGAAACAAAAATTGGAAAGCTTTAGTTCTTTTGAAAATCTTTGGGATTTTATTACCTCATCTAATGTTATATTGAAATAATGCAAATATGCCGCGATTGTGAAATTTTTTTTTATTATTTTGAATTTCTTGATAATTTATCAACCTACGCGTCATGGATCCCTTATGATTCTGCTCTTTTCCCCTCTACTTGATTTTGAGTGCAATTGACGTTGGTAAGTTTCCGTCAGCTGACGCTTTCGTTTCGTCAAATATGAAGAATTGAGGGACAATTATCTACGAGTTTGAAAGAAAATTCCATGAAAAATTCTTCAGCGGAAATGAATAATGAATTTTGTTTGATTAAAAAGTGAACAAAGCAAACCAATGCCTAATGACATGCTTAATATTAAAACTGAAACAAATTCAAACGAATTTGGTTGACCATTTTCAGAGTTCTCTTCAGAGAGCGTCTCGGTGAGTTGTTCGTTGAAAATGAATATGATGAAGAATAACGCCAGTAAAACCATTGCATTGGCCGCATATGCAGGTGCTGTGTACATACTGATTGCTAGTGGGCCAATTGATATTCCTGGATATCCGAGTGGTGCGAATACCAGTTGAAACACTGAAATCGGAATTATTTCAAACGCTGAACGATCGTTGCAAATATTGATGGCATCATGCAGCTCTCAAATCATCCACTTTGTCGGCAATATCACTAATTTTATGGCTACCTTTTGATTGGATTGACTATGATTCGGATCATTTGCGTGACAGAAGCAAGACTGTTTGAATGTTGCAAATTGCTAATTGTTGCAAGTAAGACACCCTTTTGATTTTCGTTCCCTATCAGTATGATTTTCAGGACTATTAAAGTGGTACTGATTATTGGTATTACTTCTGTTCTTATCGATAGGATGACAGCTATCAATATCGTTAACCTCAATACGATCATCACTGGAGCATTCGTATTCTGTTGTGCTGATTCATTTAGTGGAACAACTCAAATGCACCATTGAAGCACACAAAAAATCGAAGAGGAAACCTGGTCCAAACGCAAGACCCAAGCAATATGCACCGTCCGAAATAGCCGCTGCGGTGGATTTGTCCTTATTAGCGCTCGCAATAGCTGAATATGTTTGCAGTAGTATCGATGCACCTTAAATTCTTTGAATTGTTCATTGCGATTAGCTGCTTGCATACAACCTTAACAGCATCGTTTTTGAACATTCGTTTGCAGCGTTTATGATTTATGATCCTTGAAATATTTACATTATACATTGGAATATTTCACACTTTTATCATTTCCAATGAACCAATCGTTACGCTTTTTCATCTCATTCGCACTATTTCAAAATGTTCTGAAGAAAGCAAACAAAGGAATAGATACTCAACAAAAACTAAACTACTTTGGTGCGATCGTTATTGCACGGTGGTATAGAATCATCACGCAAAGAGTATCGCACAAAGAAACTCGTTGGTTGTTGAAAACGTCAAAAATCACGAGTGATTACGATTGCGAATGATAATTAGAACTTAAGAAGTTTGTGTGATAAAGAGAATATATGCCGCGTAAGACATGTTCGCGAAACTGATTCTCTCGCAATTGAAACAACTCTGCTTTAGAGTCAGATAAAATGGATCAGCATTCAGTTTGTGGGATAATAAGATCTGTGGAACAAATGAGAACGAATAAACGAACCTATTCCAATGCCATGACCGAGTCTAGCGAGCAACAAAAAGTATTTCCTATTCGTTGGTATGAATTCGATGAACATGAAACAAAGATTCGACATGAACATTACGACAATACCAGTGACTGCTGGTAATTTAATTTGTTTCATTTTGTTCGACCAATAGCCAAACAATGGCGCCGACAACGCAGCACCTAAACTGTACGATGCAGTCATGAAGCCGTAAAATGTCGTTGTAGCAGTGGGATCCATCTGAAATCTATAATCGAATATCGTTCATTTTATTCCATTTCTATCATTCTTCTCTCTTGAAAACACTCCGTGCAGCAATTCTTCAAGCGCATTTTTTCAGTATTGTTAATTGATCAATCGTTGATCGACCAAATCAGTTGAATGTGGATGACATGCAATCTGTGCCAATGGATATAAAAATGATTCAAAGCACTCGAAATATCTACTGAAGATAACATACCTCCTGAAGAAATGGCCATACGGTTGCATAATAAACCGAGAACTGCATCTTCACTAAAAACAATATAAACGCCATGATCCATATTGATCGCCAGTTGGTTCTTGCCTCCTCGGACTGTACAAATGACTTCTTTGAAGTCGAATCGGAATCTTCAATCACCTCTTCGAGTGTTGTTGGGATTGAGACCTGAATGATCTCTTCCGGTCTTTGTTTTTGCTGCTGAACTAATGGTGTGTCTATTTATTCAGGATACTAGTATAGCTTCTGATTCAACTGAATTGCTTCAACACCAGGAAGCCTTATGAATCCGGATTGTAAGTATACAAATGCAGGTGAAAGCTGAGAACTGGATTCTACTTCCTTGATTTGTAGAACAATAAACAATAGTCCATTTTAAAAATTATTTCAAAAATTATTTCTAGTTTTGAATTTTTCCATTGATCCACAGTGAACAAATGCGAAAATGATTGACCGTCAAAATTAAAAAGTGCATTTTTAACCAACAATGTTTCATTATTTTATGTTCTTGATTGATATCGATTTCCTTTCATCAATTTTTGAAATCACTTTCCGATTTTTCATTTGTTCAGAAGGAACTTCATTCCAATCGACACTCAATGTATTAGCTAGCAATAGGGAAATCATATGAGTAAGTTGGATGTCAGAGGAGATTTATTTCTAAGAGGAAGTGAATAAAACGAACTTTGCCGAAAGAAAACGCTCTTGGTCTGCTGTCTACATAAGCTGGACTGTGCGGTAAACCGGGTGAATGTGGTAACTCGAAATTGAATATTGTACTCGGCGTCAACGGTGTTCGTGGCATTCCACCGGCGAACGACGCACTCGACAAGTCGACGGTTAAGCCTTTCGATGGGGTGTTTGGTGATGATTCGGTTACGGTCGGTTGGACAATTGTGAGGTTTCGAGGTGTTTTCTTGCTTGTGAATCTGGATGCGCATTTACCGTTGCTGCTTTCATTGATAGTGCTACTGGTGTAGCGGGCTGATTCACTGACGCCATTTTGTTTGTGTGTATCACTGAAAAGCACAATCATTTGATGCTGAAGCGTGACATTATGAAGTGAGCGTTTCGTTGTGCGCTTTCATTGAACGCATTCACAAAAAAAGGGCATTGTACTTTTCGAGATAAAACCGCAAACAACCATTATAATTACCGTCTCAGATCTGATTTGCTTCTCAAAAGAGGTTCACATTGAGTTCCTTCAATGTTGCTTTCATTTTTCATTTTCGACAACATTTGCGATTGAAAATAATCTGAAATTCAATTGCAGATTAATAAGTGGCGAAACAATGTGAAAATTTTAGTTGAACAAGCAATATATTGTACATATGTAATTGCACTGGTAGAGTAGATCAAATGAAAGTTGAATGTTCGGTTGGCAAGGTGCAATCATCACTTTGAAACAACAGTTTAGCTAAGGCTTCATGAAAATGCGGTTATGAAATGAGCACTGAAAGAGGAACAATTCGGTGTTATATGATGCGAATGAAGGGTTTCTATTGTTTTTGGAGTGTTGGTAAAGCGGTGCTGATAATGCTGATGATAAATGAACACTGTCAACGAAACAACAAACAAATCGACGATTCTTTAATCGGNATTCATGTGAACTTTCTGTGAACACAGTCGAGACTAATCAATCATTTCAACGTTTTCATCTCCGAACTGAGCATGAAAAAGAACCTTTTCGAATGTGTAAAAAGCAAAATAATACTGTAGAAGCTTGTGCTGCATGAACAAATGCATTTAGTCATTTATTTAAATTAAACAATCTTCTAATTGTAAGTCTGAATCAATTCCTTTGCATGTTCATTCGTAGAGGAGGAACGTATGAAAAACCAACTGATGCACTGATTTCTTAAAAGCTAAATTCATTCGCTTTATGCCCTATAAATGTCCCGTCTGGTCTCATCATCCTAACAAGCACACTCCATGACGTGAGGAATTGTTTAGCAACGCAATACAAAGACATGATTTATGGTGTTGAAGAACGACAAACTCGATTTCAATCGCTCGAATCACTCACTTCAGCGTTCATTCGTCTCGTTTCAATGTTCACCATTTGATTTGTGATGTGGTAAAAACTAATCATTTTATCAGAATGCTTTCAAATCGTTG